CTTTGTTGAAAGACTGCTCTTTCCCCCATTGACTTGTCTTTGTGTCTTTATCAAAAATCAATTGACCATAAATACATGGGTTTATTTCTGGACTATCCTGTTCCTTTGATCATATGTCTATCTTTATGCCTGTACCTCGCAGTCTTGATTACTATAATGTTGCAGTAAATTTTCAAATTGGAAAGTGTAAATCCTTTAACTTGGTTCTTTTTCAAGATTGTTTTGGCTAGTCTGGATCCCTTGCATTTCCTTGGGAATTTTTGGATTAGCTTTTAATTTTTCTGCAAAAAAAAGTCATCCAGGATTTTGATAGAGATTGCATTAAATTCATAGATCAATTAGGGGGCTCTTGCCATCTTAAGAACATAGCCTTCTCATTTTTTATTTTAGGTGTTTATTGAGTATAAATTTGAGCTCAAGACAAATGTAGTGTTCTAATTGCAGACTTATTCTGCTTAATATTCTATGATAGGCATTACCCTGTCTTATGAAAGAAGCAAGCCTAATGTCAGTGCTATATAGTATTCCATTATGTAGTGGTACCATATAGAGTTACAAACTCTTATTTTGGGTGATCTGTCTTGGAAGCTACTTCATGTGGTTCTGTTGCAGTGTAGACCTCTCCCTGATCGGCACAAAGGGACACTGGAAGTACTGATAGCTCATAGAAGAGCAACAGAACATTAGTGTCAAAATTGATCAACAAGTACCCCATGCTGCAAATGGGGGATGGGGCTCGCAGGAGAAGCCAATGTTCTGGTTAATGGAGAGTTGACCTGTCTGTCTTCTTGGCAGAACACCCTGAATAGATGAAATGAGAAATCATCCCACAAAGTGCACAGGCACTAATAGGCATGTTTGCTTTAGGTATGTTTTTCTAGAACAGTTGATTTTAAACATTTTTAAATTTGCAGCATAAAATTCATTTTTCACTGTAACTAAGCACATGCACATTCACCTGAAACAAAAGTTTATTGGCCAGGAGAAGCTGGTTTGTTGCAATAACAAATAACCTCAAAACCTTAGTGGCTCAAGAGTTTTCTTCTCTCTTATGCTACGCATCTATCAGGTAGTGGGCAAGCCCTGGTATTTAGGTTGGTGGAGGCTTTCCCATCCAGATCATTTCTGGTTTCAGTGCTAGAGGAAAGAGAATAAGGTAGGCAAAAGAATACTCCCCCCTTCCCCAAGACGTCTACATCCTAATCCTTGGAAACTGTGAATCTGTTATGTTACATGACAGAGGGTAATGGTGATGGGTGCATATGGAATCAAGGTTGCTAATTAACTGACCTTGAAATAGGTAGATTGTTCCATATTATCCAGATGGGCCCCAGTGTAAACCCCAGGGTCTTTGAAAGTGGAAGAGAGAAACCAAAGAGGACATAGTGATGCAATATGGTAAGAACCCAACTAGCTCTTGCTGGTGTTGAAGGTGGAGGCAGGGACCGTGAGCCAAGGAGTGCAGGTGGTCTGTAGAAGCTGAAAAAGGCAGGGAAGCAGATCCATCCCAAAAGGCTCCAGAAAGGGACACAGCCCTGCTGATACTTTAATTTTAGACCAGTGAGGCCCTTTTTGTGCTTCTGAACTACAGAACTTTAAGATAGTATATTTGTGTTGTTTTAGGCTGCTAAGTTTGTGATAATTTGCTGTAGCAGCCATAGAAACTAATACAGAGAGCATGGGGGATCGAGCACCAGCACTTAAATGCATCTGCCTAGAAGCAACACATGGCACTTCTAATCATATTTTGTTGGCTAGAGAAAGCCACATGGGCATACCTAACTTCATATTATTGGAGAAGTTTGATACTCCCATATACACAGCCTTAGAGGGAAACCAAATATTGGTAAATGTAATAATAATATCTATTATACCTTTGCTACCTGCAGTGCATGCTTACATTTTCTATTCCATTCTGTTCATTTCGTTCAAAACCAAAAAAATCCTTTTAAGTTGACTTCATTATCAGCTACTGTGTTCTGACTCCTAGTTTGGAAATGGCTGCTACACAGACCCTTTTTTGCCCAGGCCTCAAGGACCACAGGATAAACCAGGTGTGTGGCACACCTAGGCATAGCTGATTGGCCCAGGTGTGGGACACATGACCAAAGCTGGCCAATCACATTCCTCTCCTGGGAATTTGGAATTGGGCCATTCAGCCAGTTAGCAGTGGGAAGCTAGCATAGAAACAGGGTCGGAGTGAAAGTCACATGGCAAGCCAAAAGGATGGAGGAGCAAAAAAGCCCTGAGTAAGCAAAGGGAGCTGGCCTACAGAGACGATGGAGCAGCTACGCAGACAGCAGTGCAGCTGGAAGGATATGCAGCCCCAGAAGGAGAGGTGGAGAGAGCACCCGACTGCCTGAGATCGGATGGCTTCCTTGGTGCTGGCTCCAGGCCCCACGCGTCCTCCCTGCTTGTCCTTCCCGTGAGATTTTTGGCCCTTTATGGTGATCCCTCCCCTTTTGTCTTGAGCTACCCTGGGGCTCTGGGAGGTTGCTGTTCCTTGTCTCCAGTGAGCATTAATCATCCAGAACACTGCTGGTGTTTCTCTTCTGACCACCCAGCTGTAGCTCTGAGGACCAGGCTGTAGGGCATACAGGGGGCGGAGGGGTGGGAGTAGGGTGGAGTGGTGAGTTATACCTCTCCTCCCACAACCTGGAAGTCTGGCTTTGATCACAGGTTGGGATGTTTGTATTTGCTCTTCAGAGTGGACAGGCAGAGGCATCTGTGTGGTGCTGTGCAAGTAGGGGTCCTGGTAAACTGGGAACACCCCCACAGGGCCTCTTTTCTGAGACTGTTTGGACCAGGAACCAGTGGAGTTATTTCTGGGAGGCCTTGGTAGTGTGGTGGGAAGGACATAGGCTCTGGAGACAGGCAGACCACAGTTTGCCTCTGTCAGCCTCAATTTCCTCATCTCTGAAATGGGATTGTTTTAAGAAGCAGCGGCATTCTAGGAAAAATACTTAAAGGCGGATATAGGGTGTAACATGCTCTTAGCTATCCTTGTTTGAGGAAGCCATCAGCGTCCCTGCTTCCTGAAGGAGGTGGCCCCAGTACTGATTAATTAAGTTAGTCGCAGGTCATTTTCCACTGCTGGTCTGTGCTTCCTGCCCCTTGTCACCCTTGCGTCTCCTGTCCTGTTTCCCGTCTGCTATTATTCCTAATGTTGATAAAAACACTTGCTTTATCCAACCACAGCAGGATTGTGGATAAAGCACCCTGCCCCTGGGGACAGGCAGACAGAATTGTTTCTGAATGCTGACTGAGCCCCTTGCTTGCTGTATGTTCCTGGGCAAACTATTGTATCTCTCTGAGACTTGAGTTAATTATCTGGAAGATGCAGTGTATAATACCCATGTCACAGTGCTGCTATAAGAAATAATTAGGCACTCAACAAATGCCAGTTCCACCTTCCCTTCCTCCCTTCTTGAATATCTTTCCTCCCCACCGGCCACAGTACCCTCCAGAACGGCTGTCCCCGACTCAGTTATTTGTGGCTTTCCTTTCCCTCAGACCCTGGGCTCCTGGGTTTTGTGGGCTGTGCCGCTTCCCAGGTCTCTTAGGCAAGTCCAGCCTCATCTTGGGGGCTACTTGTTCAAACCTGTGATCTTTTTTCTCACTTTAGCCATTATCACCCCTCAGCCAACAGTGGCATCTTTACACTCCAAACACTGATAGATATGAGGAGGAGAAAAGCTTGGGCCTCCTAGGGGAGGTGGGGGAGGGATGCGTCAGGCTCTTTGCCAGCCATGCTCAGACCCATCAGTGGTCCCTGGGGCCCCCAGAAGTGAGGAAACAGGCCGGGGCTGTGGAGGCAGCACAGAGCCACCAGCCACTCGCCTTCCTGGGGGATGGGGGAGTAGCTACATCTGTGGGCTTCTGTCTCGGACCTCAGCACCGTGCCCACTGGGATGCCTGCTAGAGGTCTTGCTCCTGAGAGATTGGGTGGCAGACATCCCGCTCAGCCTCACTGGGACCACACCCTCTCTCACTCTGTTTATGGCTATTCCTCTCCCCCCCCTCTCTTTTTTCACCCCTCATTCCATCTTTTATTTTCACATGTCCAGAACCTGTTTCACCATCCTCCCCTCTCTTCTCCCTCATCTCTGGGGCTCTGTCTTTTTCACTTCTTTTTCTCCCTCTTACTCTGACTTGTGAGATCCTGGGGCTAGATGATGCGGGTAGCTGAGGGGTCCAGATCTCAGTCCTGGCTGGGCATAGAGGGCAGGAGGAGCTGGGGAGGGAAAGTGAGAACTTTTCAGAAGCTGGGAACTGTGTCTTGGCCTGGCTATGTGTCCAGGGCTCTGCTGCGTGATCACAGGCATATCTCCTTCCTTTCTCAGTCAAGTAAGACAGTTGATTCCTTCACTAATTCATTCACTCTCTCAGCTATTCAATTAATATTAATTGAGTGCTTGCTACCTGCCATTCGTTAACACATACTTATTGAACAACGATTAAGTGTGCTGTGCTGGGAGCTTGGGATAGATACATCAGTGGATAAGAGAGACAAAGATCCCTGCATGTGGAGGAAAATGTTACCAGAGAAAAACCAGAGCCAGAGAAGGATTGGGGGGTAGGGGCAGGGGCAGGTTGGAGCATCAGACGAGGCAGTGGTGCTGGGCAAGCACGTGCCTGGGGGAGAGTGTCCCGGGAAGGGACCTGCCTGAGCAAAGACCCTGAGGTAGGAATTGCCTTGCTATTCTTGGGGAACCTGGGATGTAACCTGGAAGACAGACAAAGGCAGCTTGGCTTTGTAGCACAGCAGGTTTTCTTTGTGCTTAAGCTTAGGAACTTGCACTTGGGAAGACTCCCTTGCTTGCCCTGTGAGGAATAGACTGTTGCTCACCCAGGGGAGCTATGACGGCAGCAATGGTGACTTAGTGGTAGAGGTGGTAAGCTGGGCACTGTTCCATGTTCAGCACCTGCGTTGGCCACTCCAGGCCCCTGGGCAGAGGTCCTGCCTCTAGGCGGCCTGCAGGAGCCCCTGGGCATGATACATGGACCCTGGCCTCACCTCTCTTTCTCTCCACAGAGTATTCAAGAAGGCCAGCCCGAATGGAAAGGTGAGTCTATAACAGCCTGATGGGCTCCTACTTGACTCCGGGCTCTTGGGACCACGAAGGAAAAGCATCTCTCCTGACACGTGCAGCTCCTCGGGGGAGGGGACAGATGCTGTTCCTCATCTGAGGGGAACACAGCTCTTTTGGTAGGGGCCCTCGATCTCAAGGGGGAGGCTCTCAGAAAACTTTCTGTAAGTGGGGAGGTATAACCCCTCTGCACTTTGGGGGCTCCCAGACTGGTGTAGAGAGAGACATGAATGTGATAAACAGAGGATGAGCTAATCAGTAAGTACTGAGAGCTCAAGGTGAGTGAGTCCCTGGTATACAAGAAGACCCCAGCATACATCCTGGTCACCTCATTATCCAGGGAAGTACCCAGGGCCTGTCCCTGTTTCTTTCTCCCACGGGCCCATACTCCTTCCTTATCCCCTCTCAGTTCAGCACGTAGATTATTATTCCACTCCAGGTCTATCCAAGCCTGGCGGGGACTGGGACAGGGTGTGCTGAGATGAGTCAGGCAGAGACCGTGCTACTCACAATGGATCATTTCACTATGAAGTGGCAAGGGTGAGATGCCAGGTAGCAGGGCCTGCAGGCCCAGCCTGAGTGCTCAGTGACAGCTCATTCCAGAAGGGATGCATTTCCAGGCAAGGCAAGGTGGAAAAGGGCATTTCTGGCAGGAACATACAATTGCAAGGAGTTCAGGGTGGTCCCAAGCAGCTGGACCTCAGAGTGCCAGGAGAGAGGCAGAGGGAGTGGATGCTGAGGCTGAGAGGCTGCAGGGCCAGTCTTGAGGAGGCCAGGGCCAGGCTTAGGAGAATGGACCCCTGGCCTGGGTTGGCAGACAGTCCCACATCCCCTGTGGGGATGCCTGCCATCACCCTGTCCTGCAGCGCAGTGTTCTTGCTTATACTCCTTCCCAGCCCAGGGCCAGGGGCAGCCCTGCCAGTCATTCAGAGTTGGTTCTTGGAATGAAACTCATTTGTCATCCTTACCTCTGCCCACTGAGGAGGCATTAAAGGGTTTTCAAATGGAAGTAACACGGTCGGATTTGCATTTTAGGGTGCTGAGTCTGGATAAAGAAAGGGCTGGAGTGCTGAGGCTGCTTGCAGCAGAGTGTCAACTGGCCAGTGTGGTCATTCAGGCAGGAGTGGCTTTGGGGGGGAGAAGGACAGTTTTGGGAACTTTGGTGGAGGTAGAGCCATTGGGATTGGGGATTGCTGAGAAGCAGGGAGCATCTAAGATGACACTGTGAATGGATTTGACTTGGAGCCACTGGAATTCTAGCTTGGGGCTCCTCCCCACTGGCTGACTGCTGAGTGGGCACCACCTCCCTAGTGCCTCAACTGCCTCGGAAACAAGCCCTCTTGCTCAAAAATGGTAACTGTGTGCAGAGATGCATTTGTTAATAGCTAGAGTTATCCTTTCCATAATGTATATATACTTTAAAACCTTGTGTTATATGCTATAAATAACATATGATTTTATATGTCCATTTAAAAAAAAGCAAATTAGCCGGGTGCAGTGGCTTATGACTATAATCCTAGTACTCTGGGAGGCCGAGGTGGGTGGATTGTCTGAGCTCAGGAGTTCAAGACCAGCCTGAGCAAGAACGAGACCCTGTCCCTAAAAAAAAAAAAAAGTAGCTGGGCATTGTGGCAGGCACCTTTAGTCCCAGCTACTTGGGAGGTTGAGGCAAGAGGATCACTTGAGCCCAAGAGTTTGAGGTTGATGTGAGCTATGACACCATGACACTCTACCCAGAGCAACAAATTGAGACACTGCCTCAAATAAGTTAAGTAATTAATTAATTAATTAATATTTTTAAGAAGAAAGAAAACAAGTCCTCATGTAAGTAGATTTCTGCCAGGCTACAAGGTGTGTGGGGATCAATTGAAGGATGCGGTGTCGGTGTTTAGACCCCTGAGGGCTCAGCCTGGGGCCTGCCTGGAGACCCCTCACCCTCTCTGAGAAGCCGGCACTCCTGCTCAGCCAACTTCCCTCCTGTCGCTGCTGCACCCTCAGTGACACTTGGCAGCACTGATCTCCCTAGGCCTCAGCATCCTCATCTGTAAAACAGAAGTAGTTATGACTCCTTCCTAGGTCTTTGGGAGGAAGAAATGCTTTTAAAATTTTAAAAGGATTTGCTATTTTTAATGTTAGAGCTGGGTCTATATCCAGTTATGATTTTGATGAGGATTAGGAATGGGTCTAGGAGTTTCAGGGGCAGCTCCCAGGGTTCCTCCAGGTAGGGGATTGTGTCCTTCTGGCCCTTGCTGCTAACATGCCCTGTTCCTGTCCTCCCCAGCTCACCGTGTACCTGGGAAAACGGGACTTTGTGGATCACATCGACCTTGTGGACCCTGTGGGTGAGTCCATGGAAAGCAGGTGGAGGGTGAGGGGAAGGGTGGGCTGTCTAAGCTTCCTAAGAAAAGCCCTCAGGTCTTCAGGGGGGCCTGGTGCCAGGAGTGAGGCATGCATGGCTTCCTGCCTGAGGCAGCAAGCATTTACTGGGCAGATCCTTCCCCATGCATGGGAGGACGGTGTGCTTGTGGGAAGATGTCCAGATGCTGATAAGGAGGATAAGGATGATGATGGTGGCAGCCACCACTTTCCATAAGGCTTGTCATCTAGGAGATTGGTGGGGGGGCACTACACTTTCTCTCCCTGCTTTACAGACAAGGAGAATGAGACACAGAGAGGCTCAGTGGCTTGTGCCAGGTCACACAGCTAGTAGGTAGAGGAAATGGAGGGACAGGCCTTCCTGGGGCTTGCGAAATGGAGGCTGTCCTCATCCATGTGGGAATTTTGCCAGAGGCTGGACTGTGACTGAAGGCACCTTCCAAGTTCTTGTTCAAGTTCAGGGGCTCATAGCCTCTGTATTCTTGACAGTTTGGATTGGATAACCATTGGTGGGTGCCCATCCTGTATGGTTTTTTTTTTTTTTTTGAGACAGAGCCTCAAGCTGTCCCCCTGGGTAGAGTGCCGTGGCATTACAGCTCACAGCAACCTCCAACTCCTGGGCTCAAGCGAGTCTCCTGCCTCCGCCTCGCAAGTAGCTGGGACCACAGGCGCCCGCCACAACGCCCGGCTATTTTTTGGTTGCAGCTGTCATTGTTGTTTGGCGGGTCCAGGCTGGGGATTTGAACCCGCCACCTTAGGTGTACGTGGCTGGCGCCTTAGCCGGTTGAGCTATAGGCGCCGAACCCATCCTGTATGTTTTAGGATGTAGGACAGCATCCATTTGATGCCAGCACTCCCTCTCCCTCCAGGCATGACAATCATGTGTTTAGATATTATCACATGTCCCCTTGGGGGTAAAAATGACCCCTGTTTATGAATACTCACTGGGAGAGCCTTGGTCTCATTGCTTCTTCCCCGAGTGTTTGAGAGAGAGAGGCCCAAACTTACCCTGTTTTATAAATGGGCACAGTGAGGACCAGAGCGGATAAGTGGCTTTTTAAAGGGGGATATGAATAAACCAAAGTGAGGCCAAAGGAGGTGACAGGTTGGAAGAATGGAGACTAGAAATTGGGAGGGGTTGCTTGGGAAAAAAGTTCCAGAGAATATGATCTCTCTTATCACATCCCTGGGATCTGTCCTGAGGCCAGGGAGCAGGAGACATCTGATGGTCCCAGACGCTAGAGAGAGAGCACAGTGGTGGATTTCAGCCCACTTGGAGGAGGACCTTGGAGACTCTGGGGCAGGAGACTAAGGGGGTGTGAACTGCAGCACGGCCAGCTTCACCCTTGCTTTGTGGCCTACAGCAGAGCAACCCCACTCCTCTCCAGGCCTGTCTCCCAGTGCTCAGAGTTCTCTATGATTTGTATCTTCTCCCTGAACTGGCCCTCAGAGGCAGTGAGCAAGCAAATGGTTCAGGTGCTTCAAGTTGTGGTCCAGTAGGTGGAGGCCAGGGCTGTCCGAGCTTACTAGCCTACTAAAGGCAGCAGCAGAGGCAGCTGGAGGCTGGGAGGAGGTGGGAGCAGGAGGAAGCCAGCTGCCCAAAACACATGCAGTCATATGCCCCTGAGAGCTGTTCGGCCAGTGTTCACAGTGTTCAGAGCACCTAATTTGTGCCAGGCCCTGTGCTTGAGCCCTGGGTACCCTAGAGAGCTCTGGGGCATCGTCTAGAGGTGACCAGGTGACTCATGGTGAGAAGTGCTTTTTCCATCATGGCATGGCCTGAAGGATTGATCTGATTATATCCTCCCTGTGCTCAACTATTCCTCTGCACACAAGCCCAAGCCTCTGGCCTGGCAACTGGGACATTTACAATCAGGCCTGACCCTCCTTTTTGCTGGCCTGCAGACTCTGTTCTCCCCGGCCTCATGCTATTCTCACTGCCTGCTGTGGCCTACCCCCGAGTCATGTGATCAATAGCTCTCACTTGTCCCCTGAGCCCTGCTCCAGCTTCCCTCTCCCATGGAGCCTCCTGTGATAGTGAGTACCTTTTCTGGGACTCCCTCTCCGCAGACTTTCCACTGAGCCCTGGTGCCTGTGCAGGATGTGGCACAGAGGAGGTTCTCACCATAAAAGGAAGATGCATGGTCAGGCTCTGGGAACAGGTTGGCCACTACCCTGACCAGCTGTTCCTGGCACCTGCCCATGACTGGGGTTGCACTGGGACCCCTGCAGGCCTTCACTCCCAGGCAAGGCCTGTGAGATTTCTGAGAGGTTGTCTGGGGCAGCATGGGAGGGGGTATGGTGTGCAGAGTGTGGGAAAAGAGAAGGGGAGAGAGGTTTGGCCAGCAGTGGACTGGAGGTGCCAGGCAGGGGATGACCCCTGAGCCAATTTCTGGCCTCTGGGGTGCTGGGCAGAGATGTCCTTTGTGTCCAACTGGACTTGGCTCCTGAGGGCAGGCCTCAGGGCACTGGGGCACATTTCATGGTGCTCACAAGGGCCAGGCACCGCCTAAGTGCTTTACACATCTGACCCATTTTACTCATGTGCATATAAGACCCATTCAGTCCTCACAGGATCCCTGTCAGGTAGGTACTATAGGTCACAGCCCCTGACACATTCCTAATCTGAAAACTCTGAAAACCTAACATTATTTCTAAGTGTGGTGCAAAATTCATTCACTGGCAAGCCTGACCTAAACTGATGAGAGCTGTTTATGCCTTATCTAATTAGCCACTTGGCGAGAACACTTGCATTTCCCTGTGGAAGTATGAATGGCTTTAGTAGTGGGGTGGGGGTCCTACAGAGGGCACTCCAGAATATCTGGAACATGTGCCATATTGCCTCTCTACAATTAGAAACTTCTAAGTAAGTTCCAAAGTATACCTGGTCATAGGGGTTTTCAACCCTTATTATTCTTATCCATACATCAAGAAATAGAGACATTAAGTAACCTGCTGACAGTCCCCAGCTGGGTCTGTAGGGCTGGCCTGGGGTGGGAATGGGTGGAATGGTAGGAGTAGGCCATGCCACCCCTGGGTGCCAGCCTTCCCCTTTCTCTCAGGATGCTTTGAGATGGACAGATGATTAAGCTTGGATTTGAGTTTGTTTGGGGCTCAGGGGGTTGGGAGGTCAAGTTGCGTGTGTCTGCTCACTCTGTCCTTCCTGCAGATGGTGTGGTGCTGGTGGATCCTGAGTATCTCAAAGAGAGGAGAGGTAGGCTGTGGCCCCTACGCCCACTCCCAGCCTTTCAGGGGATCTCCTCCCCCACAGGCCTCCAGCACAGGATCTCCCTGCCTCCCCACTGGTTCTCCTGAAGGCCCCAACGACACCACAGTAGGCACTCTTGCCTCTCAGCCCAGGGCAGCCCTGCCCCAGGCACACTTTGGGAGAATGTTCTTAAATGCCCAAGCACTTTTTTTTTTTTGGTAGAGACAGAGTCTCACTTTATCGCCCTCGGTAGAGTGCTGTGGCGTCACAGCTCACAGCAACCTCCAGCTCCTGGGCTTAGGTGATTCTCTTGCCTCAGCCTCCTGAGTAGCTGGGACTACAGGCACCTGCCACAACACCCGGCTATTTTTTTGTTGCAGTTTTGGCAGGGCCGGGTTTGAACCCACCACCCTCAGTATATGAGGCCAGTGCCCTACCCACTGAACCACAGGCGCTGCCCCCAGGCACTTTTGACATCAATATGTCATGACTGTGGCCGGGCTGAGGATGCCAACAGGGCAGGAGGTAGGGTCCCATTTTACAGAAGAGAATACTGATACAGAAAGTCAATGGATTGTCCAAGGTCAGCAGGAAGACAGGAGTGGGGGGCTGAGACAAGACCCATACCTTAAGGAGATCACTCAGCAGCCTCCATCTCCTTGCTCCTTTTCTAGGCGCCCCCGGCCCCCATCCCAGGCCTCCCAGCCTACTGCAACCTGTTAGACCATTTCCCTGGCCCAGCACACAGTGCAGAGTGCAGGTCTCAAGAGGAGGTTGGGGGAAGGGAGGTGGATAGTGGAACTTGTCCAATAGGTAGTCCCCACCTCCTCCCAGGGGCCAGGCCATAGGCACCTCTTCTAGTTCCCAGCTACTCAATATCAGCTCCTCCAAGGGCAGACAGTGCAGCATCTCCAAGGAGCTTGGGACCTTTGCACAGGCCTGTGGCTGCCCCTTGGGCTTGTCCCAGGGCTGTGGCTGGTACTCTGGGCAGCTTGTTTGCTGCTCTCCAGGCACCTCCTCAGTGCCTCTGTTCCCCACAGTCTACGTGACACTGACCTGCGCCTTCCGCTATGGCCGGGAGGACCTGGATGTCCTGGGCCTGACCTTTCGCAAGGACCTCTTCGTGGCCAACGTGCAGTCCTTCCCACCAGCTCCCGAGGACAAGAAGCCCCTGACGCGGCTGCAGGAGCGCCTCATCAAGAAGCTGGGCGAGCATGCCTACCCTTTCACCTTTGAGGTCAGGAACAACTATCCATGGGACTCATTTCAGAAGTGCCACCTCTGGGTGGGGTGGTAAAGGTCAGCTGCTCCACATTACCCAGTTCCCTAGTGTGCATTGGGATCCAGGGCACTGTCACTTATGCTACCTGGCAAGTGTCTTCTCTTTGGCCATGGCTGGCAGCATCACCTTTACCTCTGTGCTACTCCTCAGACCCTCCTGAGTCCAGGTCATGGTGGAAGAAAGGGGCTGAGGAGGTGGCTGCAGAGACAGGAGCCTTTTGTGGCCCCTGGGTCACTACAAGTGTCCACTTGCCTGGCCTTGACCCAGATCACAAATGAGGGATGTCAAACAATTGATTACTCTATAACCTCTCAAATCCAGGACTCCAAGATTTCAGGTTTTAAAATTTCTTGTTTCGTAGACACTCCAACTCTGGGATTGAGCACAATCCCTTCCTTTTCTGAGTGGATCAGAGAGCGGAGAGAGGATATGGAGTCACCTGTGCTGTGTGGGTGTATTAGTTTCCCATGAGTGCACTCACAAATGACCACAGACTTGGCAACAAGTAAACGTACTAATTAAAACAACACAAAATTATGATCTTACAGTTCTAGTGGTCAGAAGTCCAAAAACATGTTTGACTGGGCTAACATCTAAGACTTTGTTCCTCTGGAGATCCTTGGGAGTCTGTTTCCAGCTTCACATCATTGGCTTGTGGCCCCTTCCTCAATCTTCAAAGCTGGCAACAGCCAGTTGAGTCTTTCTCATGCCCCATCACTCTGACCCACGTGGTTATACTGGGCCAAGATCATCTAGGATAGTCTCCCCATCTCAAAGTCTTTAACTTAATCATATATGCAGAGTCCCTTTTGTCATGGAAGGTAACACAGTCCCACAGGTTAGGAAGTGACATCTTTGGGAGGCCATTATTCTGGCTACCACAGTAGGCCTCATGGAAAGATCGTTTTTAGCCACTGCTCTGAGGACTGGGCTGGGCTAATCTCTTTGACCCCTGGTCCGAGGGATATGCAGGGTGGCAGGGTGCGAGATGTGGGGAGAGTCAGTGGTGGATGTGACAGGTGGTTTATTGTCCCTTCTTCATTATAGATTCCTCCAAACCTCCCATGCTCTGTGACACTGCAGCCAGGGCCTGAAGACACAGGGAAGGTAGGTCACCCCATGGGGACCATCTCTCCAGGTCCAGGACTCTTTGGTCTCTGCTTTCTCCCTGGGAGGTGCAGACAGACAGGACCACCCTCCCTGTTGTGTCTTTGTGTCTAGGCCAGGCTGATCCCACCTCAGAAAGTCTCTTTTCAGACAAGCCCCCAGATTCGAGGTCACGTCACTGCCACATTCTATGATGGTCTAGACTGGCTCTCCTGAGTCACTTTCACTGGCTGTGGTGTTAACTGCAACAGGACAAAAATGTTCTGAGGACCTACACCTGGCCTCGCATTACCCCCAGCAACATGGTATGGAGGTGCAATCATCACCATTTCACAGATGGGGAAACTGAGACTTGGAGAGAAGTGACACCAGCAGCATCCCAGGCCCCAGGTCTCTGAGCCCCATTTCCTCACTGGCAAAGTGGAGATAACAGGATGTGCCTCCTTGTGTTGTCCGAGGGTCAAGTGAGGCTGAAGCAAGCTGCCCAGCACAGGCGTGCATACAGTAGGCGCTCCCAGTCTTCCTAGGTGCCTGCTGCTGTTTCTGGGTGGCTGCTGGGGCGAGGATAACCACCACGACTGAGGCAGGAGTCCAGAGAGCAGAGCCCTGTTAAGTTAGTTTGGGAGCTCCAGTGTTGTGGGGAGTTGAGGAACAGCTTAGTCACAGAAGGACACAGCCACAGAGGGTGGTGGTCCAGGGCTGGGCTGAGCGCAAGGGCTTTGGGGTCCAACTGGGGGACTGGGCTGTGGGAGCTTAGGGTTCCCATCCAGATTCCTCATTTGTAGACTGAGAGGGTGGGCTGGCCATGCTGGGGACCCTGCCTCTCCAAGACCCCGTGTTCAGTGCCCCCTTCCCCTAGGCCTGTGGTGTGGACTATGAAGTCAAAGCCTTCTGTGCGGAGAACCTGGAGGAGAAGATTCACAAGCGGTGAGCAGGCGCCAGGCGTGGGCGTGGGCTGCTTGTTGGGAGAGGGAGGGAGACAGGATGGGAAAGGTCCCAAGAGGAGGTTAGTGACAATTCCTGGAACTGTGAGAGGAAGGATGGCACATTCCATCCTCAGGACCTTTCAGCGGCACTTTGCAAGGCTGGTGGGTCACGGAGTGCTTCCTGGGAGAGGCGGCTTTGGCTGCCCTGGCTCAGCATCTTTGCTTCCTCCTCCATCTCCCTGCCTCTAGTCTCGCCCCTCCATTTCTTCTTATATTTTGTTTGGAAACAAACCCTAAATTCAGCTCGTGTTATGCAGTGAGGAGGATGTTTCTTGGCCATCCCATTTCCTGGTCTTCTCTGGAAGGTGATCAGCAGGAACTGAGGGGTGTCAGTGGAGTCTTCTAAGCAAGGGAGGCAATAGAGATAGTGAACTCAGCCAGGGGAGAGACAGGAGGGGTTAGCCCATGTCTCAGAGTGGAGGCATCCTCCTGGGAAGGCACAGACCCCAGCAGACAGAGACCCCAGGCTGGCAGCTGGAAACAACTGACCCTGATTCTCATGCTGCCCTGCTTGGGGTCAGGCCCTGGCGATCCCTGCCTCCTCTCCTTGAGTGGCTGACCTTAGGCCCATCTCTTATGTTCTGTGCCCTGAGGCACAGTCCCCTGGAGAGGCTGGCTGAGCCTCTTTAGGGACTGAGTTTATTCGCCACCTGGTGGGTTTAGAGTGTATTGCATTTCCCCATCTGCAGCCTCGTCAACCTGTGTGTGGACAGGACCTTTCTCTCTTGCTTCTCCATCCCCCATTTCCTCTTAAGAACTGAGATCCAGGGAGAAGAGGGTATTGTGGGCTGTGGGAGGGGGCTTAATCTGAACAGGGAAGAGGAGGCAATATCGAGAGCCATCATCCTCATTCCACTACCACCAATGGGCCATTTTAAATCCACACCAAACAGGGTTTTTTGTTGTTTAGCTTTTTTATTTTTTTTGGACAGAGTCTCACTCTGTTGTAACCTCAAACTCCTGGACTCAAACAATCCTCCTGCCTCAGTCTTCTGAGTAGTTGGGACTAGAGGATCCTGTCATAATGCCTGGCTTATTTTTATACTTCTTATAGAGATGTGTTCTTTGCTTGTTCTTTGCTCAGACTGTTCTTGAACTCCCAAGCTCAAATGATCCTCCTTCCTTGGCCTCCCAGAGTGCTAGGATTATAGGCCTGAGCCACGGCACCCAGTTATTAATAGTTATCAATAGGAATAATGATATACTGGCTGTCATCTGTCAAGGGCCTATTAGGTGCCAGATATTGTTCAGAGTACTGGACATACATGAACTAATTTGATCCTTACAGCCACCCAAAGAGGTAGGTCCTGCTGTTGTCACCATGTATAGATGATGGAACCGAGGCAGAGAGAGATTAATTTACTCAAGGTCATACAGTTAGTAGGAGGAAAGCCAGGAGGGAGTGGAGGCAGCCTTTCTGAGGCGCGGGGCTGTGGGTACACGCAGCCTGCTACGGATACTGCCTCCCCAAGCTCTCAACCCTAGCCAGCCCCTCCTGTCCTCATTTGACCCCTGAGTCCCGAACATCTTCACTGAGTCATCCTCTTCACTGGCCTGCATCCCCCCAGCCCATAGCCCCTCACTGAACCCCAGTACCATCCTTAGCCCCCATTTCCTCATGTTCTCTCTGCATATTTTCACTTACTAGATACCTGACAGGTATATACTATATGGCAGGCACTGTCGTAGGTGCTAAGACTATAGCCATGAACAATTTAGACAAAACATTCTGTCCTCAAAGAGCTTACGCTGTTCTATGACATCAGCTTAAAGTGATGAGTGAAAACATGGTCCCTTTTCTACCACCCTCCTAAGTACCAAGACTAGACCCAGATGAAGTGCAGCCACAGGATATAGAAGGATGGAGTGGGACCAGCTGGTGACAAGGCTCTGTAGTTTGGCTGGAGTCTGAGACAATGGGGAGAGGAACCATGGTAGTTTCTTGAGCAGCAGAGTGAGATGAAGATTGCAGGGAAAGAAGATGAAGGCTGGTGACTCTGGTCATCTTTCACCATCTTTCTCCATTAGGAATTCTGTGCGTCTGGTCATCCGGAAGGTTCAGTATGCCCCAGAGAGGCCTGGCCCCCAGCCCACAGCTGAGACCACCAGGCAGTTCCTCATGTCGGACAAGCCCTTGCACCTAGAGGCCTCCCTGGATAAGGAGGTAGGAGGCTCAGATTTGACAGGGGTGGGGACTGCTCTACCAGGGCCTGGACCTCAGATCCCAGTTTTCTCCTGGGCTTTGGGAACTCCTCAGTAGGAGCTTCTAACCTAGCTTGAGGCCCATGGGGCTCTGGGAATCTGAGACCTCTCTAGGGGGATATGGAAAAGACCCTTGGGGCCTCAGAGAGTGGCAGAGGGGGCATGAGTCTGAAGGTTGACTTCAGAAAGGAGCAGTGTGCCCTCTTGAAGGTTCTGGCCATCTCTCCACTATGCTCTGTTCTTCCACCAACTGCCTGCCTCAGGCTAAGTAGCAAAAATCAAGTAGGTCAGTAGAGGAGGGGAGAGAGGCAGCCTGGGATCTCCTGCCATAACCCTGCCAGACCCTGTGCTATCAGGCAACAGATGCTGCCGGAAGAAGGGACTCCTCCTTAAGCTTCAAATCAAAACCAGCTGACTGATGCCTGTTGTTAGCGCAGGCTAGCCCCTCCTTGAGGTGTGGGCACCTCTATCCTTCTTGGGGCACAGCTAAAGGCAAGTGCCTGGGACAAGAGGCAAGTGAGGCCCTTGGGGAGGATTCAGAGTTGGTTCCCCCAGAGAGCCTGTCAGTCCTTCCTCACCTTCCCCTGCTTCCTCTGGACCCTTCTTCTGGGGACAGATTCTGGAGCCAACAGAGACTTGAGACATCACCTAGTCCAATCCTTTCATTGAACAGAGGGAGAAACTGAGGCTTAGGAAACCTGCCCAGTTCATACCACTAACATCATTGTTATTGTTGTTACCATGATTATAACTGGTGGGTGAGCCAGCCCTGGAGCAGTTATCTTTCAAGGGTCCCACAGGGAACTGAGGGCTAATACATTTGGTGGCGTAGTGCCTGCCACCTTAGTGTCAGTGAGAAGTGGATGATGAACTTGGGAAAAATGGCAGAACAGCCAAGGTTTGGGGGAACTCCAGGAAATTTGTGTGGGGCCTTTCCTTCCTCTCCTTTCCCTAGAATTTGGGCATCTTCCCAGCCAGCCCCTTGTTTCTTGTGCCTCCCAGATCTATTACCACGGAGAACCCATCAGCGTCAACGTTCACGTCACCAACAATACCAACAAGACAGTGAAGAAGATCAAGATCTCAGGTAGCCCAGGAAGAGGGTCAGCTTGGGGCAGGCCAGAGGGAGTCCTCCCAGGGCTTGGGGGTAGCTTAGGGTCTCCCCTTGTTAACAGCCTTGTAAATAACTACTGAAGCCAAGGCCTGCTCTGAGCCAAAGGGTAAGGCTTTTGGGGCATGTAACACAGGCTGCTTTTTGGTCAGGTAATGAGTTTGCTGTTTAAGCCACCTTTTCTCTTCAGTTTCCTGGGCTCTGAGCAAAGCTGTCCTTGAAGGGAAAACTTTTCGTTATAGAAGGGAATGGGTGTGTTTGGAGCTACCCTTTGGGTAGAGGCTGGGTGGTCTCCTACAGAAGTGTTTCCTGGTGGCCTCTGGCTATTGTCTGGGGCTGGACATCCCCAATGTGGAGAAGCCTAAGATGCTCTGTGGGGGTTGCATCCCTGGCTCATAGTGCCTCGATCCCCTCTCCCTCCCTAGTGCGCCAGTATGCGGACATCTGCCTTTTCAACACAGCTCAATACAAGTGCCCTGTGGCCATGGAAGAGGCTGAGTAAGTGAGCACAAGCCTGGCCTTGAACATGGGAAATTGGGTGGGAAAAAAAGAAGCTATAGGTCCTATCACAGGCCCAGGTGGCTCTTCTCCACCTGGCAGAAGGGCTGGGCCTCAGACTTCCTTGCCAACTCAGATGATCCTGAAGAACCTTTTAAAAATCATCCACCTGATTTAGCTACAGGAAAGTACATGCTATAGTCAAGCAAAAGACACTATAACTAGAGCAACAAAACAAGAGCTAATAAATGTAAGGGGGTTGGGGATGTGGACAGAAAAGAATTATACTGTGCCTGAAACCTAGGTTGAAGGGTGATACTGTGTTCTGAGCTTCCTGGTAGCGAAGGCAAAGAGGGTAAAGCACTGGATACACCACTTTTCTTATCTAATAAAAGAGTAATTCAGCTCATTGCAATGCTGAGAATAATTATACACACATATAAAAAAATCTAGGCTTGAGGAGAGCTACTATGGTTGGACATGGATAGAACTTTGTCCCAACCTTGTTGGCAGCTAAGTCAAGAGGAGAGATCTCAAGCAAAACATCTTTATTTACCTAAGGGAAGTAGAGGCTCCCTTTAGAATACACACATTTTTTTTTCATTGTCCTACAAAGAATTTTGTGGGGGCAATTGCATTTTATGTAATTTTATATGTATGTGTATATATTTACATGTAATTTAAATCAGTATTTTTTGCAATTTAAAAACTTTTTAAAAATATTACTACATGGTCTTTGAGATAGTTTAATGTCCTATAGGTGAACATGTCATGATCAGGACAAACATCCCCCCATTATTAGACATTTCTTATATCCACTGCTGATTTAAAATACAATGGGAACCATGAGGTGTAGATTTCTGGTGAGGGGCAGGGACAAGGGCATAAAGTGACATGATCTGAGACAGAGTAACATAAACTTCTCAGAGTGGAAAATCCCAAACCCTGAGGATGGTTGTAGCATCTGCATTATAGCAACATTGATGACTGGGGAGGCCTTCACACTCCTAGACTTGTTTACTTCTCAGGAAGCCCTGTGGGGTGATGGTTGCTGCTGTCTCAATATGTAAATGAAGAAGTGGGTCAGAGAGATGTGACTTGCTGAGCCTCAGAGATACCAAGTGTCAAAGCGGAGGCTCAAACCCAAGTAGTGTGGGTCTAGGGCTTGCACATGCCAAGCTGGCTGCTACATGCCAGCTATCTCACTGAAAAGGTAGATGGGGACAGAGCAAAACCTAACAGTTGACATACCCTGCCCATGATGGACCAATATGTGATAAAGCATGTAAAGTTTTAACTACCGGACCTAGCTGATGGTAGCTTCATTCATGCTCTGCACATAGCTGTCATTTTTAAACTAAGTGTGCTACTTAGCACTGCACTGTTAGACTCGGATAGTTTGTTTCCTGCAGAGCATCCCAGTCAGTGATGCTGGTGTATAGAGTGTAAGTGTACCTCCTCTGGGGGGCAGTGGTCTTCCTGCCAGAGCCAGGCCTGCCCAAGTGGTTCCTATGATTAGAGGACAGGTACGGAGAGAGAGGCTTGGAGCAAGGTCAGGCTAGATGTCGTATAGGTGGAGATGAGGCCAGGGCTGGCTCTGGGGAGGGCCATCTCCACACATGCTTCCCTTCTTCCCAGTGACACGGTGGCACCCAGCTCCACATTCTGCAAGGTCTACACGCTGACTCCCTTCCTGGCCAACAACCGAGAGAAGCGGGGTCTCGCCCTGGATGGGAAACTCAAGCATGAAGACACGAACTTGGCCTCCAGCACCCTGTGAGGACCCACCTCCTGCTCCCGGCTCCTGTGCACTACTCCCATGGGTCCACACCCTCCTTGGTCCCACCAGTAGAGGGCAAGGCTCAGGCTACTCCTCCTCAGGCTTGTCCAGAGCCTTAGGAATGTGACCTGTGAGAGAGGCTGCCCCTACTCCCACTCCTAAGCATGGTTGACTGGGAGAACGAGATGCATCACTAGTCTGCCGGCTTGCTCGGAAGCAGGCAGCCTGGAAGGGCTTCCTGCAAGAGGCAGCAGCTCCTGACCTACATCTTCCGCTCATGGGGTGTGTCCCGAGGCAGAGCAGGGCCAGCAGGATGGGTGTGGCTCCTGGAGGATGAACAGGAGGGGACTGGGGAGTCTGGAGAGACCAGGGTGATTTGTCTAGACCCAACACAGAATGCCCCTCAAAGCCAGGGATCCCAGGGCATCTGGTCACTCCTGTCTGATACATCACTGACTCCTCTAGGCCACCCTGCTAGGCAGAGCCCTGGAGATGTAGAGCCCTCAGTGGGCTATGGGCCTCCCTCTGCAGCACTCCTGCCCGCAGCCCCCAACTTGGACCGGCTCTCTCCAGCCCTGCACAGGCTCCCACCTCCCTCTGAGCCTTTACCACCTTCTCCACCCTGGCACAAACCCTGCCTGTCTTCAACACCCCACTGAGACACCACCTTGTAAGAGACGTCTCTTCCAGATTGCCCCCACCCCATCCCAGCTGCCCTTACCCTGGCTGAACTCCCAGTCCAGCCCTTTCTGCTATGGCTTGCTGAGCACAAAACTAAGCAGGACCCAGGCGAGGTCACTGGCCCAGGCAAGGAGAGAGGCCTCGTGGGTTTCATAATTTGGAACCCAGGGATCTCTGAGGGCACAGCTCACCTTCCTCCCTTCCACCAGGCCCTGGGTGGGGCACACACGGCAGAGGGATGAAGGCCTCTGCCCCTGTTCCCTGGTATCTTGCCCACCAGTGACCTCCTGAACCCACTCTCCTGTGTCACCTTGCAGCCTGAGGGAAGGAGCCAACCGCGAGATCCTGGGGATCATTGTGTCCTACAAAGTGAAAGTGAAGCTGGTGGTGTCTCGGGGCGGGTGAGTGTCTAGCCTGGCCCAAACCCCCTGAGTGTGGAGGGGAGTGACTCTGGAGATCCTCACTGCCGACCCCGCTCTGCCTATTTGCCCACCCTCCAGAGGAGGAGTTTCCTGCCCCAACTCTTCCTTCTTCCTGCTCCTCTCCTCCCTACTGGGGTCTGAGCCTGCATGGAGGGGTGGCCATGCCTGGGGGATGTGCCCCTCATCACCCCTGGGGGCACCGCACCCACCGGTACCCAGGCTATTTGGGTGGAAATAGCTAAAGGAGCTTAGAATCCCAGAGCTGGACTGCGGATTTGCTAGCTGGTCTGAATCTCCCATTTTGAAGTCTGAACACTTCCCCAAACATTTCCTAAAATCTCCTCCCCTAACCTCAGGTCACAGGCTGGGCGCTGGGGTCACAGCAGCAGACCAGACATGTTCCCTTCCCAGGAGCACAGTTTGGTGGAGATGCAGGAGAAACTCCCATGCTTCCCCAAATATCGGGTCTACCTGTATAAACCTAGAATTTCTAATTAGTCAGAGGGATTGTTTTCTAATTTAGTTTATACATTTCTATAAAAAGATTAAAAAGCTAAATGATGTTAGACATAGAAGCCCCTTTATTATTAGAATAATGCCTTTTTGCAGGTGGCAGTAATACCTTATGACAGGACATCTCAAAATTGTAAATCCTAAATCCAGTGTCTTGTGACCTTGCAGGACCCACAGTCTTCCCACGTTCCTGGTAACCTGGAGTGCTCCCTTTGGCTTTAGATAGCCCCAGCCTCCTACCAGGCTCCCCTGGGGTGGGTGGTACCCAGGGTTAGTTTTCACGCTCCCTTTATAGATGAGGATCCGGAGGCCTAGGGGGTGCACTGAGCTGGGTCTAGATCTTAGTGCCCCTTGGCTAACTGTCACTTCAGTGGACCCCTGAATGAGCAGCAGAGCTGTGCAGGGGGTGGGTGGGAGTGTGTCCCGTGGGTCTTCTCTGTCCAGGGGCAGCAGAAGTGGTGAATGAATGTGCTTTCTGTTTTCTTCCTCTCTGAACTCTCTCCTGACCACTTCTCCTGCCTCCTCTGACCCACCCAGGCTGCTGGGAGATCTTGCATCCAGGTAAAGTCCCTTCCTTCGACCTGGTTGACTCACCTTCTTGGAGGGCCCGGTAACCACTGGCCCGACTGAGCAGAAATCACAGGGCACTAGGTGGAAGGAATCCTAGCAGTCATTTCAGATTGCCAGGCTCAGGTGTGTGCTGGGGAGACAGTCTTTCCTGAAAACACCTCACCTTGCACTTTCATCCCACCGAAGTGACAGGGACCTTTACAGACAGCAAAGACCAATTGCATTAATCTGGAGAGTGGTGCCCAAGAGAGCTGTCTAAGTTACTTGTCACCTGACACAGTGTGTTTTGGAGAAGTGCAGGATTCGTGACTTAAATGTCCATACGGTGGATAATTAACTGCTGGCCAGGTGTTGTCAACCATGTCCTCTTTTGTAGACAAGTCTCCCTTGTAGCCAGCTGGATGGACTCACATGCCCAAAGTGCATGTGCCACAAACACAGCAGTGTGGCCTTCTCCAGTCACACGCTGGCAGTGTTACTCATCCTAAGAAATTAATTCAATTCTTTTGATGTAATTCAGCAAAAATTTCCTGAACCCAGACTTATGCCCAGGCTTGTGCTGGGAGCCAAAATCCCAGAGAGGAATCTGGTCCATGCCCTCATCACCCATGGCCTGGTTAGAGTCTGGATCTTCCATTCATATCCTGCATGGCCTTAGTGAAGGATGGCAAACTCGGTCTTCCTCTAGCTTCCCTTCTGATGGCTACTCTTCCAAGTGAACCTGTAGAAGCAATTCCCTTTGGAAGCAAAAGAACAAAAGAAGGATTTAAAAAAAAAAAAACCCCACATAGTTTTGACAGCCTTATGAAAGTCCCACGTTCCCATTGAGGGGAAGTGATGATTCTTACAGGCACAAGCACATTTTTACCAAGCTGTGTACTGCATCATCTCCCAGAAGTTCCAGGGGTTCTGGAAGGCAGGCATTGTTATTCCCATTTTCCAGGAGAACTCAGTGAAACTCAGAGATACAGCGTGCTCTGCTCCTCCAGTGAGTGGTGAGGCAGACGGCACACATCTGTCTAATTACATAGCTTGTGCACCTTTCCCATCTCTTCCTCCCTTCAGCTGGGCCCTGGGCAACAAGATCAGTGGGATGTGGCTTATGCCTGGAGGTGCTCACAGTTGGAGATGTGCTGAGAGGAGCCTTCAGGGCCTCTTTTGTTAGTCTCCTTTCTGACACTATTCCCTGTGATTTAGGGTGTGGATTATGGAACCAGAATCTTTTTTCACTTACCATTAATAGCTGTGTGACCTTGGGCAAGTTTTTTTTGTGGAAATAGAGTTTCACTTATAGCTCTTAGTAGAGCGCTGTGATGTTACAGCTCACAGCAACCTCCAACTCCTGGGCTTAGATGATTCTCTTGCCTCAGCCTCCCGAGTAGCTGGGACTACAGGCGCCTGCCACAACGCCACGTTATTTTTTTTGTTGTAGTTTGGCCAGGGCTGGGTTTGAACCCACCACCCTCTATATATAGGGCTGGCACATTAAGCCACAGGTTCACTTCTGTAGAATGCCGTGGCGTCATAGCTCACAGCAACCTCCAACTCCTGGACTCAAGTGATTCTCTTGCCTGAGCCTCCCAAGTAGCTGGGACTACACGTGTCCGCACAATGCTGACTATTTTTAGGGATGTCTCACTCTTGCTCAGGTGGTCTTGAACCTGTTAGCTCAGGGCAATCCCCCAGCCATGGTCTCCCAGAGTGCTAGGATTACAGGCGTGAGCCACCATGCCTGGCCTGGGCAAGATGTTTTAGTTTTTATTTATTTATTTTTATATTGTTTAGGATTCATTGAGGGTACAAAGAATTAGGTTACACTGATTGCATTTATTAGATATAGTCCCTCTTATAATTGTGTCCCATCCCCAAGAGGTATGCCATGTACCATGACTCCCTACCCACTTCTCTCCTCCCCTGGGCAAGATATTTTAATCTTCTTATGCTTTAGTTTCCCAGTCTATACACCGGGGATAACCATAGGGCTGTTGTGAGGATTAAATGAGTTACTCCAGGAAAGGGGTTTACAACAGTCTTTGGCACAGAGTCAGCACCACATCCATGTCTGCTCTTGGTCAATCAGGGCCAAAGGCAGAGAAAACCCATCAGAAACACTGGCTGGGGCCAATTCTTTCCTGTTGCCCTTCCCCTGCAACCCCAAAGGCTGGAGAGGGTGAACAGCCTCGGGCCCTTGGGCCCATCCCACTTCAACTTGGCTAGACTCACCTCAGCAGTGCTTCCTCCAGCCTGAGCACCTTGATAGAAGCCTCCTGGAAGTGTTGGGAGATGAGATAGAGTGAGAATGGGAGGGGTTCCGACCAGGGTCCAGGGCGCTCCTGGGGCCGCCTGGTGGCCACAGTGCACACTGCCCTGGGGCAGTCCTTCCCCACCCTGTGCCTCCTCCCAGCACTCAGGAATCCGGTGATCCTTTCCATTTCTTTTTGGAGCCAGAAGATGAGGTCTCCTCATTTAACTCCCAGACAGAGGCCGAGCTGGGGCTAGAGGCCACATCTCAGACCTCCCTCACCCGATCCATAAGCCCTCCCTTGTCCTCACACTGATAGGGTACCAAGTCTCACAGTCTGAGATTCGTCTTGAGGCTCACCAGCTCTGGGTCTCTGTTTCAGTGACGTGGCTGTGGAACTGCCATTCACCCTAATGCACCCCAAGCCCAAAGAGGAACCCCCACATCGGGAAGGTAAGCAGAATCTGTGGTTCACTAGGGCAGAGGTTCTCTACCACTGCCGTGTTACCCTGTTACCCCACCTCCCTCTGGGTTAGCCTTCAGCTAGCATCACCTTTTTCTCAGGTCCCCAGATGTTTTGTGGGTCCCAAACTCCTATTTGCTTCTGACCTCACCTGGAGGCATTAAGGCCCTGTCCTCCATGGGAGGGGAGGCAGGCATGGAAGAAGTAGCTCCTACCTTGCTCTGGGCATGGGCTGGGTCCTGTTTGGTAGTAGGGGAAGGTGCTACATGGATAAAATGACCCCCTCCCCCTAGCATCCCATTTCCATATTTTTTTTTTGCAATTGATACCAGATTGGTCACATTTCATTGAATCTAAGATTGTTTTCATTGCAAAAGATAACATTATGGTATGTACCAATAAGAGAGAAGAATGCTTTCACAGTTTAAACTATGAAATACCATTGATGGCAAAGCATACTGTAAGTTCAAAGATGTTAAAATGTGAAAAAGTTAACTATGAGTTGTCTTAGATTTAAAGAAAGGCATGCATGCAAGAAATTAATCTAAGTCATGTTGGAGACCTGTCAAAAGGAGCAGGGGGCCAGAGGTTTCTCTGCTGTTCTGGGGCTGCACCCTGCTCCCTGCCTTTAAGATGATTTGTGGTGTTTCAAGACCAAGGATGAGCTACCTTCTCTACTCCCCTTTTCCTTCGCCTTCCTCATCTTAGCCTGGTTGTCTTAGGGTGGGGGACCTGTGCCCACCACCCCCATGCCAGTGCCCTCACTAACCCCTGGGCTCCTTGCCCGCCCGCCCTGTGTTTAGTTCCAGAGAACGAAGCGCCAGTAGATACCAATCTCATAGAACTTGACACAAAGTAAGCCAAACCCTGCCTGCAGATGTCTGGGTGCTGGGGCAGCCATGGGTGGGCAGGGTGGAGGGGTCATTTGCATATATGCTTATTAACCCCTGAGGAGCTGCTGGTCTAACCCGTCTGCTGAGAGCCACCTCTGCTCGCCTCTTCAGCAACCTGCTTGCCTGCATGTGATGTGAGGGACCCTCCATGCCTGTTCCTCTTCCTCCTGCCTGGGTGGGGTCTGTCTTCCTCCCTTGTCCTTGCACGTCCATCTGTCAGTCCGTTTGTCCATCCACAGTGCCTGCTTGGCTCACAGGGCTGCTTGGTGGCCCTGGGCTCGGCTCTCCCGCCTCCCCCATGCCCAACCAGTGGAATCAGGCTGTGGGGTGGGCAAGGGTCTAGGGAGCTTGTTGCTTCCGATTCCTGAGGACCAATTGATGTGGATTTTCCAGTGGTCAAAGGCCATCGTGTCACCAGACAGTGGCGAGAGGGGAAGGATCTGGGCCAGCAGCATGGACCACCTCCAGCTCCAAAGCCATCCTTCCCTTGTCCCCCTGGAGAAATTTGGGGTGTGGAGGTTTCAAGTCACCCCATGAGGCTCCCATGTACTAACTCCCAGAACCCTGTGGGGACAGGGGACCTAAGTGGGCCCTACCTGGTCCTAAGTGGATGTGTGTTTTAGTTTTTTTCTTTTTTTTTTTGAGACAGAGCCTCAAGCTATCCCCCTGGGTAGAGTGCTATGGCATCACAGCTCACAGCAACCTCCAACTCCTAGGCTCAAGCGAGTCTCCTGCCTCAGCCTCCCAAGTAGCTGGGACTACAATCGCCCACCACAACGCCTGGCCATTTTTTTTTTTTTTTGGTTGCAGCCATCATTGTTGTTTGGTGGGCCCAGGCTGGGGATTCGAACCCGCCACCTTAGGTGTATGTGGCTGGCGCCTTAGCCGCTTGGGCCACAGGTGCCGAGCCTGTGTGTTTTAGTTGAAGGGAGCTCACTGTTCTTAGAAGCAGTCCTTAGTCCTGAAATCCTACCCAGGCCACCCCTTTCCCCAAGCACCTGTCCTCAGCTCTCTATTTAGATTTGCTATCTTCCTACCCATCCCCTCTTCCGTCCAGGGTCTCCTGGGCAAGAATGTGAGCTGACACCTGGGAGAAAGGCTCCTTATGGCCTTTTCTTCCTCTAAGCCAGTGGTTCTCAACCTTTCTAATGCTGCAAACCTTTAATACAGTTAAAAGGGGTCACAACCCACAGATGAGAACTGCTGCTCTAAGCCAACTCAACTCCTTCCTGTCCAGCAACAGGAATGCTTCCTGAGGGTAGTTTTTTGGGTGGGTAGGGTTTACTGGGCTTGTTCTTGGTTGATTTGAATGCTGTGAAACCAGTGGTGGCCTGGCCTGTCCCAGTGGGAATTATTCCTTCCTTGGCTACAGAGCCACACTGATCCCCGCAACTCCTCAAGAACCAGGTGGCTTTTCTAGTGTGTAGGCAGGAAAGTTAAATTCTTGTCCTCCTTTGGCATTTTCATAGCTGGCCCACGTCCAGATGTGACTATTCCTACTGCCACAGGTAGGTATCCAAACGTGGCAGCCTGGCAGGCCTTTCTGCCCATGGTCTGCCCCAGAAGCCAGGCACCTCAGAGAGGGTGTTCTCTCCTGGGCCCCAGCCAGACTTCTGAATGTGCCTACTCTCCCTACCCCTGCAAACGCACCACGTTTTCCTTGTCTCTCCCACCAGTGATGACGACATTGTATTTGAGGACTTTGCCCGCCAGAGACTGAAAGGCATGAAGGATGACAAGGAGGACGAGGAGGATGGTACTGGCTCTCCACAGCTCAACGACAGATAGACGGGGCCGGCCCTTCCTGTGGGCAGTTCCAGGGCCCCTCATGCACTAGGATGCTTATTCGTCTTCTTCCTGTCTGGTTTCTCCTCCCCTTTGTTCTTCCAGTTTCTACCAGGGGGCCCCAGAGGTCTTCTTCCAGGTCACGATGACGGACCTCTGTCCTCAGGATTGGCCCCACATGACCATGCCAACAGGACCACAAAGCACCACCTTCACCCCACCTCTGCAGTCACCTCTCAACTCCCCTCCTTTTCATGCTGACTCCCAGAAAGGCCACCATGGCTCTGGCCTTGGAATTTGACATGATAATGGGGAGCAAACAGGGGAGGATGGGGTATGGGGCTTGGCGGGTGGGGATGCGAGCTCAAGACACATGAGAAATGTCCGTAGTCCCAAGTGATTAACACAGTCTGGCAGCTAAAAGATGACTGCATCGAAGGCCACCTCCTTCTAGCTGGGAGGGGTAGACTTGTGGATAGATTCTGAATGCCTTTTTGCAGTTTGGACCCACCAAAGACCTCTCCCCTTCCACTCTCATCCCCGCCCATGTCCCTCTATGTCTGGTAGTGACATTGGTGAAGGTTCGTTCATAGACTCCGGGAATAGAGAAAAGCAACTGGACCGACTTTCTTACCAGCAGTTACCTAGACTAAGACAAGCTGTGTGAACTAGCCCAGGTATATTTCAGTATTGTCAGGAAGTGACACCTTAGCTACCTTGTATTTTATGTATGTGGACCTCTTTATATAACCAGAGAGAAAGAGAGAGGAAGGGGGTCCTCAGTGAGTCCCACCCCCGCCCCCCCATCCCACAGAGTGAGTTCCTGAAGCGGTTTCCTGAGGGCCCTCTCGGAGATGAGAGCAGGGAGGGGAGGCCTGACCTTTGTCTCTTCCTCCTTTGTGGACTTAACGTGATCGTGCAGGAGGCAAAGCTGGAGGTCCTGAGGGGGCTGGGGCCTTGGTCAAGCTCCTTCTCTTCTCTGGGTGCCAGTTCTCTGGCAAACCAAGGGGTTTGACCAGTTGACCACAAAAGGCCCTCCCAGCTCTGGCCTCAGAATTAATAAACACAAGAGCCTTCGGTCTGGTGATGAAGCCAGAGATGCTGCCTCCAGAGGGGATTCACTGGGCCTTATAAGTGGTTAGGCCCAACAGAGCCCCTGGCCCAGCAGAAGGGCCTTGATGTTGGGCCGTGGCCTTAGCTGGCACGAGCTGCTCTGCCCTCCAGCCTGAGTTTTACAAAGAGGGATCGAACTTGTATTTGCCGAGGTTTGGGTGAGGGGCTGGTGATAGGGCCTGCAGGGCCTCACAGCCAACTGTGAATGTGGATACCCTGCCATTTACCAAGCAAATATATTGACTAGCAGGGCAAGGGAATCTCTCCTTAATGTCTGTTCCCTTCCATCTCTGTTCCATACTTGCCTGAAAAGGGAGACAAAAAAATTTTATTATACAAAGTTGGATCTTCACCCTTTTCAGTCCAGCATCTCTGGGGGTGCACTGTGCAACCATTTCCCCTGGTAAAATTACCTAGTCCACAAGCCTGGCACTGTACCTTCTGAAACTCAAGGGAACCCTCCCCAGGTGGGAACCAAATCTGCTGGGGACAGAAACACTCCTCTGGGGTTCTAGCTGAGGTGCCCCAGGCATCCACATACTACCAGTGCTTGCCGGCCAGTTTGCACCTCATCTGGACAGCTGTGGACTTGATGAAATGCTAGAACAGCGCAGGGCAAGCATTTGCTCTCCAGGGTCTTCTTCCAAAGCCTTAGGGGCTAACACAAGACCCTTTTGGGTGACCAATGTCCTGCAAACCTTTTCCCCCATCCCTGACACAGGCACGCAGATCTGTCAGGCTGCTTTCTTAAGCTTCCTCCATCTCAACATCACACTCACCTTTTGACTTGAGCCCTGTGATATTTAGCCAATTTCTCCAGCTGCAGGAAAGCATTCAGGCTTGTATAAGGGCCAAGTTTAGTTGAAGTCAACCTAACCCTCCTTTGCTGACACCTTCTCTGCTCTATGCTAAGCACTGGAGACACAAGGATGAGTCAGTCCCAGCCCCTGTCCTCAGGAAGCTCATGGTCAGAGAATAGTTATGGGGGGAGGATAATAGGGGCCATTGCCTTCAGGGCTCCATGCCTGCTGCTGGTCCGTATAGTGCCTTGACATGAATAGAAAACAGGGCCCTTTTCAGGTGGGTTCAGACCCACACCAGACTGGACAGCTTTGTGAGTGGCACATAGGATTTGGGTACCACTTGTCCCATGGCTCTTACACAGCCATATGCTGCAGTCGTCAGGGACAGACAGGCTTGAGTGTTTCATTCCACCTCTTCCTGCAGAGGATGGCCTAGATCACCTTTCCAGACTTCTGGCAGGCTCTAGGCCAGTGGTTCTCAACCTGTGCGTCGCGACCCACAGGAACTGTATTAAAGGGCTGTGGCATTAGGAAGGTTGAGAACCATTGCTCTAGACACCGTCCCAGCCCCCCAAAGCATGACTGATTCCCTCAGGGACCTCTCTTCATTCTGGAGTCAGACTGTCCAAGTGAGACTTTTGAGTAAACTAGGGGTGGGGAAGCCTCAGGCGCCAGTCCACAGTGTTGGCTGTTTCTGTGCCAAGTGCTGGCCGGGCAGCCCTGCACTGGGACTTTCAGCACACCATGTGGATGGCACGTAGATGCTAGTCTGGGCAGGAAGGATGAGCATGCCCTGAGTGGCCCCCCCAAGCAGAGGGCCAGCTAGACTTTCTCAGCATTGCAGCCAACAGATGAGTTCAGTTCCCATGAAGGTAAGGACTGAGTTGTTGGCTAGACCCCACAGGCCACCTCAACCTCACTGTCCAGCCAGGCTAGCATGGGCTTATTTGGGGTACTGGTTCAGCTGGTAGAGATCCTGACAAGCTGGTTCCCACATTGTGTAGTGAAAAGAAAACTGTCTTGGAAGTCCTCAGTGCCACCTCTCAGTCCTATCTGTCACCAACCAGCTGGGTGGCCTTGAGCAAGTTATTTAACTTCTTGGACTCAGTTTTCCTAACTGTGAAATGGGGCAGTGATCCCTCCCCTGTCTGACTCGAGAAATGGCTGTGAGGCCCTGATGAGATAAAAGTCAGTGGGCTTGCTCTGTAAATTGCAAATGGCTGCACAGGTGTGGCTGTGCAACTGCAGGAGCATGGCCCAGGGTCACACAGGAAGTTTGCTGTATGCTGAGCCCTCTTCTCACCCATCTTCATCTCTTGGCCACTTTCTCACTTAGGAAGATGTCAACCAGAATGAGATGCAGCCAAATTGGCTTTGATGAAGCAGTAGAGAGGGAAATTTAGACACTTTTCAGGAATACTATACCCAAGAATAGTGGCTCCAACTACCAGGACATAGAGATAAGGCATGGTTACTGCCAGGATTGGGAGAGGGGAGCATTTTGAACCCACCCAGACCTGGTGTCACCACATCCCCCACCCCCCAGACACCACGGAAGCCAAGAAACCATGGCTGTGACCTCAAGTTAAAGAGAACCACCAGCCCCTAAGCCCAGGAAGCTGAACCATTCCATCAAACCCAAAGGTGAGGGGAGATAGAAGTTGCCTGCTCTTTCCCTTCAAGGTATAAGGCCCCATCCCAACCACCATAGCTGCTGCTTGCTGACGTCGGAAGGGCTTTGGGCCCAGGGAAAATTCAGGCGTCTTGCCTTGAGAGCTGGGCCCAGCTGACCCATTCCCTAGTGGTTTCAGCAGCCCAGAGAGTCAGCTTCTCTCCTGCCAGTTGCCAGGGACTAGAAATCCTCCACCTATCCAAGAGGAAGGGGTTAGGCCCCAGTCTTAAACTTTTATAGGGTCTCATGGACATAGGTCTATGTCTGTTCTGATATGTTTCTTTTTAAACTCAATAAGGACCAAAAGACTCCTCTGAGCCTCATCCATACCCCACCTCTACCACTTCTGCACAGGGTCAAAGAGTGACTTCAAAGAGAGGCCCTGGTGAAGGGGGAACATCCTCTCTTCATCACTCTCTCCCAAATTGTCACCCCAAAAGGGAAGTCAAAGCACAGGTCCCTGGGACCCATGACCTGTAGACACTGACACAGTGGTTTTCAAGCCAGGTGCTGTGGAACCCCTGGAATTCCACAGAGCTTAGTCAGGGTCTGCTAAGGTCAGAAGAGGGGGGTGGAGGCAAAGGATAGGTCTCCCCATTCTCACTTCCACCAGAACAGCTCTGCTTTTATCTGTCTTCCCGACTAAGGTTTCACTTTCAAACTTTCTTTACAAGAAAAACAAACCACCATTCTGAGGTTTGATTTTAGACCAGCAAGCACAGGTTCTATTCTTGCTTTTCACGTTGGAATGGCTCTGGCATTCCAGTGCAAAGGGTTTTTGTATTGGGATTTGGGTCCCAGACCCAGGCTCAAGCTTCTGCTTAGACACACACACGCACATGCACATTCACACTCCACATTGGATGGCTTTTCTAGTCAACCTACCCTGACACTCTGGCCTGGTTTGACCTGGGCAAGGGCCTGGTGCTCAGTGAGGATGGGTCTTGACCCCAATAGTGGCCCACACAACATGGGGAACCATGAAGCCAGGAAGCAGGCCCCCCTGGACTTGTATCTGCACTCCTAGGTGGCACCCACCTCCCTGGCCTATGCTTGAGGGACAGAAGGAGTAGAGTGATGGGGAAAGATGTTTTTGTCTTTTCACACAGCTGGATGGCTGGGAATCCACATAAAAGACAGGTTCAGGAAGGACATTATGGGAAAAGCCCTCTCTTGAGGGCAGGATTTCCCTAGAAACTTTTTTTTTTTTTTTTATTGAGACAAAGTTTCACTCTGTTGCTTAGGCTAGAGTGCTGTACTGTCATAGCTCACAGCAACCTCAAACTCCTGGGCCTGAGCAATCCTCTTTTTTCAGCCTCCTGAGTAGCAGGGATTACAGGCACCTGCCACTGTGCCTGGCTAATTTTTCTATTTATGGTAGAGATGGGGTCTCGCTTTTGTTTAGGCTGTTCGTGAACTTTGGAGCTCAAGCAATCCGCCCGCCTCATCCTCCCAGAGTGCTGGGATTGCAAGCATGAGCCATCGTGTCCAGCCTCCAGAGACCGTTTAAGCAGCAAGTTTCTCTCGAGTAACTTAATGTGATTCTGTCCTCACATTTGTGAACAAGCAGGAGTGTGGACGACAGGAGTTTCTTGTGGCTCCTGCTGCTCCCTGAACTCTGTTCTCTGCCCAGATCCCTCAGCAGGAGCCACTAAGCAGGTGGCCCTTTAGGTGAGACCCAGACCAGTCCTTGGCACAAAATCCTATCAAGGTGCAGGTAATCTAGGGGAAAACGTGAAGCTCAGGGCACAACAAGCTACGTGGCATGGAGGAAAGAATGCTGACTGGTATTTTACTTTCAGCCTAAGTGTGCTCCAGGGACCCCTTGGGTCTGAGTTTTCTCGTGTGCCAATTAGGGCCAGTGCCAGGCTCTTCCCACCTCACAGGCATTATTGCAAGTGGATATGAAAGGTGGTCATGGAAGGTATTGGCATATGAGAGGCTGGTGCCTCACAAACTCAAGGTGAGGTCCCGGCCTGCTCTGTAGATCAGCAGAGGACTCAGGGACGAGTGTAGGATGCGCCGTCTCCATCTTCCTGAGCATCTCTGCCTGACATTATAGTTCAGCCACAGGCTATGGGGCCTGCTTCTTCCTTGGTGATGGGAGC